GACAACCTTCTGATTCATCGATTTAAAACCGAGCAGAGGGGACGGAGTGGCGTTGCGGTTGTTTGCGCTCTTTTTCGACGTGATATCCCAGTTGCATATCGGTTGCATACAACGGCAAATCGGAGTATCGTTCAATTACAATTTCTATCATAAACGCGTATCTTATGTGAAACACGAGAGATTTTTTACTGGATATATTCTCGCGCCGGAAAGAATATACAGAAAATTTTGTGCATTATATCAGGTATTTACGACAAAGGCAAAAACGATCTTTTTAATATGTATAGTCTATTGCATCACTTTTCCATATCTAATTATCTCAGAAAATAAAAAATATTTGAACAAATTGTTTTTATAAAAAGGTTGAAATCCATGAAATTTCGTACCATTAAAATTGTTATTGTATTTTTACTTTAAATATTAATATTTGATGAGAACATAGTATAAACTGTAAAAATTTAATTAAAAATTGTAGGAATTTATGTTTCACAATTTTGGAATAACATCGCATGTATTCTTTTAAATTCCTAGGAAAACTGTTATTTTTAATTCCAAGCGGTATAACAAAATTTTGTTAAATTTTTATTCTATTCTTATTATACTCCATTCTTTATTTTATTTTATATTCTATTGTATTCTTTTTATTCAATCCAATTGTTTCCAAAAGTATATTGACCAATTTAATACGCACAATGCTGTTGAATCTCTACAAACATTACTTTAATTTCATGGATCATTCATTAAAAGAAACATAAAAAAATGAGCGTTGCATTAAGCCATCAGAGAAAGCGTGCAATGTGCGTTGAAACTCGGCTCAAATACGTGCATCATTAAAGTTACATGCCACGAACACTTTTCCCTTAACCGTTATGGCTGTTCCGTGCTCGAAAATATGATAAAATCTCCACAAATGTGTTGCGCTTCGTAGATCCGTATCTTCTGTTCATGAATATAAATAATATTTTTTTTTTTTTGACGTTTATATATGTATTTATTGCTCTTACTTTTACGCTAAATTTAATCAAATAATTAGTTATTTGTTTTTCACAGAAATGATATGTTTCCCTAATTCCGTAAAGAATTATAGTAATCAATATTACGCAGCTGATAATAATAGTTACCAAGATCGACAAAATGTGGAGAAAAACTTTAAGCGATTTTAAATATTTTTAAATGCGCTGCACTTTTCGTGGATAATAATTTTTCGGCGAATAATAGTACTTTTATCAAATATTTCGTATATGTAAATTACAAAGGAATATAGAAATGATCTTTTCCGCGTATCAACTTTAAGAACCACGCCAGTTTTCCTATCGAAACTTTATTCACAGTTCTATAATAGAACTTTAGTAAAAATTGAATTTTCTGTATGTTTGATACCCAGATGCTCTTCTTATTCGTAAAAAGAAATAATCGATCTGCTTCAATCCATTCTCGAAGTTAATGAAACTACAGAGAAATGCACTATGATTCTTCAACTTGATGTGTGAGACTTTGATTAGAAGTTCGTGTGATCCTACAGCATAAATTGCGATGTCCCATTTTCCGTTTCCAACTCGATATAATGCAAGGATTCTTAATCCATCGCGCGTCCAGATCCGCTTTTATGTGTTCGTGTGAACCAGAGTAAAATAAATAGAACAAGATGGTTATAATAATAAAACACATAAATTAAAAAAAAAGTCTAATATAAAAAAAATTATACAATGCGTGTGAATTTAAGACTGAAGATAATAATAATGATTTTAGATATGGCAAAGTAGAAATTTCACTTATTAAAATCTAATTATAAAATCAAATTTATATAATTTATTTAATATTAGAAAAATATATTAAATATTAATTCTATATAAATTCTTAGAAAACTGCTTCTTGAAGTCCAAATTATATAGATTTTAATAATCAATGCTAATGCAGTTCCAGGATTGACATTATCCAAAAAGATTGTAAAGCTTTCACAAATTGATTTATAATTGTAATGTTATTGTCTCGAATCATATTAATTAATGAAATAATTGCTGAGCACGTTATTTACTTTCGTATTGTCGGATGTATTCGTTGCAATAGTCGTTTTAACATGCGCGTGATAGCTTCTCCCGGAGAAGAGGATTAAGTGTCAGAAAAAATTTGTAGAGAAATGCGCAGCGCAGAATGTAACGTGAGTTCGAGTGAATCAGGAAGGAAACTGAGAAGTCCTGCTAGCCAAGGAAAGTATTCCAATACTACGTGTAAATGGCAGCTAGGCCAAGTGCCATGGTCACTTTCCTCTCTATAGTTTTACACGTTTGCCACGATGCACTCGTTTCTCTTTCATGTTCACCATCCATCTCTCACGAATCAAATTGCTATAGAAAGTGAATCGCACACCGATAATAAACAGCCGTCTGTGTTATTTTTTAGACATTTTATGTATTTTTATTTTTGTATGTAAAAGTATATTAATTCTGATTAATACAATAATTATATAAACTATATAGAACGAGTATATATAATGAAATTTTAATTGTAATTTTATTTAATGATTGAAGACAAAAAAAAATATGAATTTAAGAAAAATATATGACTCCATTTTCGAAAAAAAAAAAATTAATAATCTGCCATTATAATATGTTTTATGAAAATGGAATATTTAATTGTAAAGTACAATTATAGTTCTTTGTCGCGTTAATTATCTTAGTTGGCTGCGTCTTTCTGTGATGATGTTCTTACCTTGAGATGTGCTAATTAATGATAACTTTAACAGGTCACGAGAAGCCTGTATTAATCGTGATGAGAAACGATGATATAAAAATTATCAGACTTCTATAGATATTTCCATTTTACAATATATACTTTAGTCGACGGAAACGCATAACGGTAAATAAATTATTTTCAATAATTAGTTAAAATCACTTTATAAAAAACGGAATATAATAAGAATAGAATAGAATAAAAATTCAGAAAATTTTAAGTTTACTTGGAATTGACACTAAAAATTCTCTGAAAACATTTAAAAAATACATTGTCCCAGGATTGTAAAATGCATGTAAATGTCAATAAATTTTTAAATCTCATTATCCTTACAAATATTTTAGGATAAACATAAAATAATAATTTCAGTATTTCATCAATTACAAAATCATGTTAAAATTTTGCAATAAGATATATTATAAAATATTAAGTAAAATATAAAGTATAAAGTTTTATAAGATTTTACGAACATTTAATTTCTTTTATATTTAAAAATGTTGTAGCAAATAGATATATTGCATTAAAAAAGAATACTGAAAAAAAAAGTGTATGATATGATAAATATTTCAACTTTTATGTGATATAATAAATAATATAATTTACTAATTGTTTAAATTAATAAACATTATAATGGAAAAAACGAAAGTTATCAATAAGTGACAAAGATATCTATCTCTCGAAGTTGATATTTAAAGTTACATGAATATTCTGCATTTTTCAGTATACATGTTATTGCTTTCTTTTTAATAGTAAGAGTAATATAATCAAGAAAGTTTACTCTCTCTAAGAATTAAAATTATAATAATATATATAATATATATAAATTAAAACGTTAATAGAAGCAAAACGGAATAGTGAATCATACAAAAGGATCATACTTCAATATAGCATCATTTTTGCTCCTTTATTTAAATTGTTTTTTGAATAGTATCACGAATTAATCTCAGCTCGCCAAGATATGACCGGTAGATTTTTAATTTGTATTAACTCGCGGAGAAAGCGATATAAGATTTTGTTGATGAAAAATCTTTCTCAATCTCTTGCGTAAAATTTCCCAATCTTTCGTATGTAAAACAGCGTCGTGGCATATTATGACCTTGACACAATGTCGCAAGTTTAAGTCTACTAAGAATGGCGAATCGAGCTTCATATGTAGTAAAAGTGCTTTCGCGGAAGAACAGTAATAACCTCGTGGATAACCTCGTGGATAACGAAGGAGATATCTTCATAGGATACCTTGGAAGAATCTACTCGGCGAACCTTCGACACGTGATGTGTACTCAAGATAAAGTATCTCTTCGTCACTTCGAATTTCGAATTATAATTTTCAAAGATTACTTAGCGCTTTGAGAATCGAAGATTTATCTTGGTAGATGAAAATTAATCGTTGAAGATTGAATTGTTTTAGCGAATTAAAATGGCGGAAATAAAGTTGTAATAGTAAAATTTGCATTTCACTGCGAACGAACGTAAAGGGTTTTATTGCTTCTACATCAAGATCTTAGATTTGATTTCTAGATTTAAATGTCATGATAGTACTTGAATCGAAATAGTTTGATATATCGAATTTCGCAAAAATGCAGAAACTTAAATGTTATAGAAAGTATAATTAATTTTGTTTCTACACATGCATATATACACAAGATATATGTTGTTTACATAAGTTATTATATGGTTAAAAAATTAAAACAAATGTCAACAGAAAAAAATTTGGCAAAGATCAAAATTTATTTGCGAGATACATTAAAATAAATATGCGTGAATATTGTAAAAATTGTGCTTGTTTAATCTATGCGCATTTTGCTTAATAATTTAATTAATATTCGTATGCATCGCGTTTTTATAATGAATTCTTTGCCAAATCCGGTACATGGTCATTGGCATTTAACCCTCATTTCTACATACATAATTTGTGTTTAGTCCTTCGAATCTCATCATAACCTTCGATGATGACTATATCATCCCAATGTGTCATCAATCATGCTGGGAGTAATAATAATTATATTAAAATTTCGTAATATACGATACTTTTCTTTAATTAGCATAATTTTTATTAATATCCCATGAGGAAATATATTATCATAATATATTATTATTAGAAATCACAATAATCATTTTTCGACTTAAATAAATATTATAAATAATAATTTAATAAACCATTAAATCGTATCAAATTATTTTAAAAATAATAATAAATTTAGATAGAAAACTGAGATAAAAATACGTTTTTATGAATTAAACGAAAATTTATTATATATTACAACAGACGATTCAATTCCTTCTGCTACAGAAATTTCTCATATAACAAACTTCTAAAATTTATCATATAGATTCAGCTCATATGCAATATCTCGAGGACTTATTTTTTACTTCCGAAGTTATAGCTTATCTTCGCGTGACTACTTTTATAACACAATTGTATTTCTGGGGACCATAGTGACGTCATTGTCTAAAGTACGTTCTACTCCCACTATATAGCAGGCACACCGGCGGTAACAGGTGCACGGTGGCGATCGGTCTTCAGGTACAACAATACTTCGCGCCAGTCGGTGCGCAAACGAGAAAGTGAAGAGCCGGTACTCGCGATCCGACTGATAGGAGCATCTCGCGCAAGATTAGCAATCATTCCGGTCCTTTGATTCCTCCAGCGAGGTCCGAAATCTAACGTCCGGTGCGATTCCGAGTAATCGTGTATGTGTGAGTGCGCCAGAAATTTTCTTTATATTAAAAAAATTCTGCCTTTATCGACAAACCAAGCTGACCTTAATCGAACATCGATTGTTTCAAGAGTTTCTGAATCTCTCGTCAACTCATTACGTGAGAGGAACAATAAGGATCGTTATCGATAGATCAGTGATAGTTAGCGTTTCGACTTCATTCTCATTACATCAATTGTTTAAGAGTCATTTGGAAAAACCTTGAGTTATCTGGAGTAATTTATCTAATGTTACATCGCGTATGCTGATGAAGTGTCTTTCATGGTAAATGTGTCAAGTAGACACCTTTATGCGGAGTGCTTGGAAACAAAAATGATGATGTAATGATCTGTAAATGATTTGCTTATTTTTATTGAATTTTGCAATTGAGTTATCTGTTAATTTTTAATAATACAACATAATTTGTAATTTCTTTTTAATAATATAACACAGTGTGAAAAAGATTTTGAAAAAGATTTCTGTTGGAATAAAATTTATGCGTGAATCTAAAAGTGAAGATTCTACGTTTTATATTTTGTCGTTGGTCACCTTACTTAATCTTGACCCTCATTTTAAGCACAGTATCATTAGTCATGGTGGTGGGTTCTGTTCATGATGTATTTAGATTATATGTGATATTGCATAATCATCGTTTCTTCGTCAACAAACATTAAAGGCACGAGTTGTTAAGGATCAAGGTAACGTTTCTTATTAGGATAAAAAAGATTTATAGGTTGACTCACTCAAGCTGTTCTGTCCATAAACACACTGACAACTCAACAGATTTATTTCTTCTATCTCCGGTATAATCAGTTATACGATTTGTTCTTATTGCTTTCCAGAAAGTTCACAATTTCGCCTTGATGATGCTGAATAATCGAGAAGTGAGGGAATATTTATTTCAACGCGAATTTTTCCAGTTGATATAATAATAAAAGAAAGATAAGATAAAAATATTAAATATTAATATTAAATATTAATATTATATTAAAAATAAATAGTACACTCCATGACAATTCTCTCTGTCTCTCTCTCCGCAAACTCGAAAAAATATTGCATTTACGAGTACATATATCATTCGTGTCATAAATTATTTTACTTGATTATGTGAGTTGACATAAGTCTCTTGAAACGCGAGATTATCTTTATTGTGTAAATTTATTCTATAAATGTTGCGAGCAAAATTGTGCTTCAACCCATAAACTCTTACGGAGACAACTAACTTTGTCGTCAGTCGGATGTCAACCATCGGCTGTTCACGCTGCGGAACTTTTTCCGGTCCAGTCACGTAGAATATTCCCGTCGCGTTTCGCTACGTGCAAAAGTCTCTATCTTTTCTTTATGCCATGCAGCTTGAATACAGGTGCAGCATAAGTCTATTGACCGGAAATCGCGACTGATTTTAATTCGCTGCTTGCGCACAGGACAAACGCTCGATGTACAGCAACGGTATAATGCTTACGCGCATATCAAAGCGTTTTTCATCTTTCTTGTAATGTATATCAAGATATAGCGTGTTTTAGAACCTTAACAAAGCGACTGCCTTTCGCAGTACTGAAGAAATTCTTCCGTCTTTGACATTCTACATGAAAGTAAAATTTAGCTTACTTCCATAAAATGAATATCATTTAAAATAGATATTTGTTCTTCCCTTTGATATTTTATATCAAACTGTTTATTCTACTTAAAAAATATCAGATACTTCTTTTCTACATCAAACATTTTATTTTATAACTTTTAGAGAAAAAGATAATATAGCTGTATAATGAATAGAGAAATTTTGCCCTTTTTCTTTATTTGATAATATGCCTTTTGATAGATGCCCTTTTCTTTAGGTTGATAATATAGTAATATTTTTTACGTTTAGCGTACGATCGAAATGTTTTAATAATTCATGAATATTCAATCACCATTACTCTATAATATGATTGCTCAGTTCGAACACTCTAGTTTCCGCACTTCTGCAAAAATATTAGGTCGATGCAGTATAGAAATATTAATTGCTGAATAAATTAAAATCGAAGCAATCAGAGTCTTCTGATTTTCGCGAGCGTAGCATGTAGCGCAGTTTCGAATGTACAAGTATCAACGAGTTTACAAGTAATTAAAATAATGTGATAAACTTTAGTTGGTCATCTCGTACCCTGTCGCTGAAAATTGTTGATTATCTTTCATTGAAAAAACATGAAGTAAAATTGCTTTTACATTAATCTATTAGATTAAAGTTTTAATTATAAATTATAAGTGTTATAAAAGCCACAAAAGTTTTGTATAATAACCGGATAATTAACATGATAATATAAATTCTGCATTAAAAAATATTTTTTTGATTCTATTCTATTAATAAATCTAATTGATCATATTTACAAAATTAATAATAAAGTTGCACTTTTTTAAAAATAACGTAACGTGAAGTATTTCTCATAAAAAGGAAAAAAAAAACAAGAGAAAAATAGACATCTGAGAATAATCTTCTTGCATATTCAATGAAAACGACGTGCAAAGTTAGCCGAGATAACTCGTGATAATCTTACGTAACCAGCTGCCATGCTCAGGCGAACACAATGAGATGACGATACGCAGTTTGCATTCGGACCTCAAGGATTCGCGTTCGTTAAAACGGGCAGCCAACCAAAAGGACACGTTCCTTTTCACTATGTCACGGTTGTTCAAGTAGAAAAAGCCATACATGATATATATAAACTGGCTGTATCGCGACATTTATTAAAAATTTTTGAAAATATTTTTTTATGAAATATATGTGATACACACACACATATTTGTACCCGTTTCTGAGATTGTGATAATATGAAGTTATCGTTCCATTCTCCGTTTGTACATCTTGTTAACATAAGCTCTTTGAGCGTTAATTAAATAGCTCTACAGCATGTATACAGAAGATCAAAGTGAGGAGATGATAACATGTCACTTGCATCCCTGATTTTGTCATATGTAGCCGAGATACACATGCAAATGGCGTATAAGTGTTTATTCGCTATTGATTGAAAGAACACATGTGATATACGTGCATTTTTTTTTATGAATATATTCAAACCGTTAGTTTTAAGCGAGCAAATTAGGCGTAATAATTTTCTGCTTTTTATATTAAATAAACTTTGCATAACTAGTCGACCGAAATGCGAAACAAGAAACGACATCAAAATTTTTCATTTTTTTTTTTTTTTTTTCATAAACCTCGATCACGTATGACGTGGTTAGAAAATAAAAAATACAACGTTTATTACGAACACTAGCGTAGTTTTTGCTTTGCCTCTGCATGCAAATGACGTTTGCCGACGAAAAATTCGCGAACTAGGAATTGTAAATGGGAGCAAGGCGAGCAATTTGATTTCGTGACTAAAATAATAAAAGCACTAACCCTGAAGGACGTAGACTCTCAAAAATTTTTATTTTATCAGATAAGAAGTTCTAACACAGAAAAATGTATTTGCGTAGAATTAATATTATGCATGACATATAGAAATTAAATGTCCCCTCTCTCTTTCTTTTTTAAATATTTTAGAAATAAATTAAAAAATTCTGAAATAAACATAAGAAATTACGTATGTCCGATTCGAGAAAATTATTTTACAATTGCAATTCAAATTTGTATTAGACAAATACAAATCAGATTTGTCAATCTCATTCTAGTAATTATAATAATCCGGTATTAACAGTTTATTTTAATGAATATATAAACAGGAATTTAATACAGCTATTATATTATAACTGTAAAATGCTTAGTTAACGATTCATTACGAGTGCATCCACGTGTGCATTCGGATGTGATAAATTATACCGAACATCATGCGAAGAATACAATAACAGGAGTTACGATTTGAGTTCGGTCCGTTCTACCCGATAAAAAGGAATTTTTTTTTTTTTTTAAATTCGGGTTGAAAATAGAGCCAGTGATAAATCCCATTTTAAGAAGTTGCGTAAGTAGTGGGTTTGCACGTGACATTCTTCTCTTTACAAGACTAGGAAATTCGCCATTCGCAGAGGAATTCGCGAGTAGTTATTATGCATTCTTCCCTCGTGTTTAAGTGCATAGAAGTTTTTCCGGTTTCCTTCGTTGATGTACATTCAAATAAGTTATTAGTACGATATTGACGTCATGATTTATTCTATGATAGAAGAAGAGATGAATATCCGTCAAAATACATCCACACGTTAATGAACATTATTGTTCGTCCAAGTCACTCAAGACAATCAACGAAATATTGAAGCTACGTCATTTTATTATAATTAATTATTTAAAAAGCATTATAAGAATTTGCATATTCATATTACGTTTAAATAATACATAGAGTGTTAATAAGTTTGCGATTAATCCTTCCTAAAGGAAAATTTCATTCGCGTGGTGCAAAATTATATATAGTCCTGTACATTTTAAATCTTTACTCTATTAAATAAAATATACATTCTCGCGTAATTAAGATCTGAAAAATTCCGTTTCAATACAGATGAAACATTTAATTAATTAAAACAAACTGAAGAGAAATTCCTAAGGTTCTATTATTTATTTACAATGAGATTTGAAAATTAATTCTCCACGTTCCTTTGATTTCCAAAACTTTTAAACTAAATTATACAACTTTTTAATTATATTTTCATAATGGTTATACTGAGGAAAAAGTATCATTTCTCTCAAATTCGTCCTCGAGGATCTGTGACTGAGAGAAAGAGCACGATTACTAATACAAGTCTGTAAAATATGCTAATTACACGCGTACATTGTACCCGGAAAACCTGTGTCAGTGAAAAGCTGTCACAGCGTATGATTTTAATATAATTGCGTTTCCTATTATTTAGACTCGTTGCACAATTGCGCGATTTTAATTGCAGAGAGGGCAGTCGCTACGATTCCCACTCGGCGCAGTCGACGCAGGAGCGCAGCAAGCTATTGAAGCGCACGAGGAGTCTCGCAGTGATATCAGAGGACGATTCTCGGCAAAATCGGGAAGTGACAGAGCACTTTCGACTAGGTCAATCGAGCTTCGATCTGCCCAGGAAATATCAATTGATACCGAGAGCTAAGCTGATCGATCGGAATTCTCTCAAGGACAGGTGAGCCACTATTAGATACAAAAAAAAGCTTGATCGTAGATCGCGTGCTTTTAACTTCACTTATTTTTTAATTAACGAACTACAATCGCTACACAAGGGAAATAAAAAAATAATGAAAATTCTTTCCAGGCTATTTTATTTGCACAACGCTAACGTAACGTATAAATTATTGACTAAAAAAATACATTAATTAATTAATTTGAAGACCTTTTGAGGTACATTTAATTTAAGTACATTTTTGAAGTGCATTTAATTTTAATTAAATAAAAAGGTGTTTTTTTATTTTAATTGAATAAAAAGAAATCTTTTTTAACAAATAAAGATCAAAGAGATTTTCCTCATTTTATATTGTTGTCACGTATCCTATATTCACAGAAAACGTAGTTTCAACAAATTTACCAACAATAATCTCAATAAGATAATAATAAATTGCTGACCATCAACAATACCTATTGTAACGACACGTTTTTCAATTTGGTCTCTTAACTGTAAATATGCATTAAACGTCTGCGGCGACAATATTGCAATTCGCAACTTGAAACTCAATTGATCCGCAAGCGACGCGTTCAATAAGACACTCGAACGACTTAAAGTTCTTTTCAAAGTGACACATAAGAACTTTAGAAAAAAACTTTGCTAAAATAAGATTCTAAGCTGTTATGAAATCAAAAATCGGGATAGTGGCTCACGATCGACGAGCAAATTGTTTTTATCGTTTATTTACGGTCCGTTGAAAATCTAATTCATTGCATAGTCATCATTGACAGGTAAAAAACAACATTATTCCATATTGATCTTTTGCAACTCGTAGAACATGAGAGTAAAACTTATAAGATAATCGAGATTAATCGAGACAGAAATATTGATAAAATTTTTTTGACGCTTTATAATAATGAAACATACTTTTAATAAAATTAATTTAGCTGTTCATTTATCGGCAACAATGTAGCCCAATTCACCAATTACTTTTTTCAAATAAATTTAAAAGAAAAATTGACAAATAAATTTCAAATAAATTTATATGGAATCTATATAATAAGAAATAAAATTAAATATAAAAAATGGTAACACAAATTATAATATTTTAAAGTATTTTCTATATATTCTCATTCCATTTAATAGTCTTTTTTTTAATAATTTTTTATTAGCCAATGTTATTATGCAACGTACAAATCCAATGAGTCCATATGTTATTAAGCTATTAAATTTCCACAAACTTTTTTTTTACTATTCACACACATATTTTAAGAGTCTTCGAACTTTACAAATGCAAATTTTATTTCACGAGGATTATCGGTTAAGAGATTTTGCACTTGGCTTGTTCCAGACTTTCCAAGAGTCAGCAGCATCTTTCAGATTCTTTCGAGAGATTCAACGAGACAAAACCCTACCATTCGCGATCGACGTGCGGCCTTCACACAATTCCACCGGGTCTCGCGTCTCTTCCAGATCCATTACCATACGTTCGAGGAAATCGTGAAAATCCTAATCGGCTAAATATCCTCGATTGGCCGGATCCTCCGAGACGGTACTGCAGCGTGCAGAATTTAGATACCGTAAGCGGATTGATCGACATCGTCGAAGATACCTGGCCCATTGAAGGCAATCGAAGTATCGACTGTATATATACGCAGGTGAAATATTTTTCCTCTCGATAAAATATCGAGATCAGAATATCAAATATATTAATTTATTTCGCATAGAATAGTGAAGATTTTTCATTCACATTTTCGTTATATTGAGCGGAATAATAAATAATTTAATCAATCAAAACTGGCTTTGTTATGCTTACGTCAAAAATAATAATCCGTCACGTTTAATTAAATTAGTTTATAATAAATTCCTCATAGTGTATATCTCGATAATCTAATTTACAATGTATATGTAGCATATTAAGGACTATCAGGATAACATTTTCACGTAATTATTATTTTGATTAGAATTCACTTGATACAGTGATGTATTGCTTTTGAGAATAGTCGTGCCGGGGGATTTCTCGATGTAGAAACAAGATTAAGAAGTTTGTTGCTAACTTTAATTAAAACGGTATTATGTCTAGATCGAGTGTCCTATCTTCTTCATCACACATACACATATACACAGACAACATTCGCGATTAGCTTAATTAAATATTTCAACTGACAATGAGCATTAGACATATGATACAGTTTTGTACAAATTAAACAAGTATTTTCCCGCGAATTTCGTAAAACTGAAATAATAATCGAATTATTATTTAAAAACTTATTGTACTATATTATATGACAAAAATTGCTTTTAATTAAAAAGACGGTTAATTAAATTAGAAATTGATTATTTCATTAATTATTTCCAAAATATGTCATTATTGCACTTAATTTCATAAAAAGACTCTTTTGGTACAAAAAATATACATTTCAAAAATTACTTGTCCTGGAAAAGAGGGATCAATTATAGCATTTTCTATAGGAGAGAACGAATGAAAAGCACGCGTGCTTTCCTATTCAGGTGAAGCGCAAACGTAAGGAACACAGGAGTTTAGACAGCATTGCCTTCGAGGACGACGCGGAGTTGGAATACTTCGACGTATTGAATTTACTGCCTCTTTCTAACATACGGTTGGGATACGACGAAGCTGTCTTGTCGAAAGACGATAATTTTACGAGAGAGACGAAACAGGTGCACGGTTCGCGGCACTTAAGAGTACTCGAACATAACGAGCCGAGCAGCGTGAGCGAGGTTTCGCCGACGAGGAGCAGCAACGCCACGGACGAGGAGAAATGTAAAGAGCACACGGTGAAAGAGGATAATCCCGCTTCAACCGATAGTTCTGAGAAGAAGGTTCGCGATCTCAATTTGTCCAAGGGAACGGACTCGAGACGACGAGACTCGGTAAAACGAGAGCGTC